CATAGGCGAAAACTAACAAGCTGACAGAAGAGGCACCGAAGGAAGACAACACTTCAAGTGAATGTAGAGAAGACGGAGATGATGAAGATACCCAATCAACAACAACTTCAACAACAAGAGGCACCAATCACCATTAACGGGTGCGACCTGCAGAAAGTAGTCTCTTTCACCTACCCACCTACCTAGGCAGGGCAGCATCGTTTCAACTACAGGCGACGGCACAAGCACAGATGAGGATGTCGAAACCAGCCAAGATCGGGAAGACAGCAAGACAGGCCTTCCTGCATTGATCTGAAGTCAGTGTGGAGATCTACCGCGCTGCACTGCACTGTCCTCAGCATGAAACGCGAACAAGGTCTGGATTTTCAACACTAATTCAGTCAAGTAAGTCAGTGCTTCCATGTGGTGGTTGAGAGACTTGCAGCGTCATGAAAAGTATTTCTAACAGACTACAGACATTCATCAACAACTGGCTACGCTGGCTTGTTACTGAAGATCAGATAGCCAGAACAATAAGAATGAGCAACAAGGAACTCTGTTTGGCAACGAACCAACGAAGCAAGAACCTATCACCCAACAACTATGCAGAAGAAGGGAGTACTGGAGATGGATCGGGCATACACTGGGGACATCACTTGTCAGGTAAGGCCGTCGAGTGGAATCCAAATGGGAAACGACTAGTTGGGCATCCGAGGTAAGGGTGACATGGAGGAGATGATGTGAGGAAGAAATGAAAGGTTGTGGGGAGTGTTGGCTCTGGGTTGAAAGGACAGCGTAGAAGAGAGTGCAATGGTGACGTTCTACTGGAACCTTTATCCTCAAAGGGAACCCAATGGACGAATAATAGTAAAAAGTACTTCAATGCACAGTCCAATTAGCGTGCTCCGACGATATTTTTTGACTCAGTGTAAAAATGAACAATTTTGTATGTTTCCAGACTAAAGTGGTTTCAATTATCCCCGAAGAACTATGGTGCCAAGTCTGATTTACTCATTATTTTAATGTATTGTCAATGGGTTCAGGAAATGGAAACAAGTTTGTTGGAGGCTTTTGTCATATAGGCCACTTCTTCCGTATAATTTTAGAGCTTTGGGGAAAATGTAGTTAAATTATATATGGAGGTCATTGGCTAGGTGGTTTGATGTTCAGACTGAGTAGTTAAGCCTAGTCATCACAAGGTCATATTTCTAATTTTTATCTGCCAACGGATATTGCAGGATGCGCAAGGTTTGTGTGCATGTATATTGTACTATATGTGGTGCTTCCTGTACTTGTATGAAAATACTAGTTTACTGATGAACACTGAGTAATTTTCATTGCCATGAAAGCTTCAATTCAAAAGAATAAAGAATAATAGTTTTTGTTAGAATAATGTTTCAAGTTGTTATTCATCGTAGATTGGCATCATTTGGAGGAAAAAAGGAAATCTTGGAGCACCGGACAGCTGTTTCGTTCTAGTATGGGACTTCTCAGCAGTGTGCAACCACGACCCCACCAAATAGTTGACAATTCTATTCCGTTTCTACTCTTAATAGCATTTAATACTGTTAAAATATGTACGGCCTCGGATATTATTCTTTCTTCATTTGAATGGAAACCTTTACAATATGTCTACATTATCGGAGTCAACCATATATCCAATTTCGACTGCAGGCATAGGCATCACTGATCGCCTTTCTAATTTGTTAAAAATTCCTTGATGAATGTTTCGTACATAACTTGTGTTCACTCAGCCTAACTTCTAAGGGTCTACAACTTTCTCCAGTATAATTTGCCTCACATTCCAAACATTAGGCTTTGTAGACACAATTGTTCTGCATCATCTTAGGCTACTGTATCGTTCATTTTGACAAAAATCTTTTCATTTACATCTGAAGGTGTCAATTCTACTTAAATACCACAAGAGATGCATTCTCTTCTAATCTGTTTAGGAATACCTTTTGAATGTTGTAGCGTCATAGATGACAACCAGGATTATTTCGTGGCGTTATAATAATAAGAATTATTATCATAATTGGTACTTGGTGTTTTATTCGTCTGATCGTTTTTACTGCTTAAGTCATTTTCTCTGTATCGATTTTTCATTTAAACGTTTTTTATTTTGAAGATTCCATTTCCTGAATAACTAGGATAAGTTATCATATTTTTCGTCTTATTTAGGGGTTTCACTTCTGTGATAGCTTTAATGTTCACTGAATAATCTAGTTGAAAGTCTAGTAATTTTGAGTTATGCGGCTGTCATGTTATGAGGGCTGTTTTACACTATCATCCAGGAGTCAATTTTTAAAGCAATAAAAACCGTAGGGAAATACAAGGTCCTGTTACTTAGCCTGATAGACACACAACAAAGCCAACTGAATGTCTCAGCCAAGGACATCTCTAAATGTAAAGAAAACATTTAAAGTTATTCACACATTTTCCGCGATTCAATTTTCAATAATATACTTTTAAACAGGAAAGGTGAATCAAAAAGAAATAGGTTTATTTTCGTATTTCTTAACGCTTGTTTAGCCTAACCTCATACCACATACTAACGCATAACAAGCTTGAAATACACTTAACCGAAATGAACTAATGAATTCGATTAAACAAATAAATTCACTTAAGCATAAGAATTTACGATGAAATATACACAACCTAGTGTTGTTGATGACAGCTTGTTGATAATTGACCTCAGCTGTTATTTTAAAATTTTTCACAATTAAAATTTATGCTGGACTGGATGGAAAACATGGAAAAAAGGTAGTAAGCAATAACAAAGTCCATACTCGAATAAAGCAAGAAGGATGAAATCTGCGGAATAAAATGTGTTATCATTTTATTTCCTGAATAGTCGTCAGTTGCATTCAGTCTGAAAATGTAACTTTTATTAGAACGAAAGTTATTTCTAAATGAGAAAATCTGTAGCCTCAATTTGTATTACACTGATAATCCACATAACGTGTAAGTTAATCAATTTTAAAGAAAGATTCCGTTTCGAAGCGAATAGACGCAAGTATACTAAGAACGAGCCTTCCTTCATTTAAATGTGTCTTAGTATACAATACCACATGCTCGCTAAACCAGTGAGAATTAGATAATTACGCTGTTCATGTCATCTGCAACAGTATTTATGAATTCACATGCACTCTCAGTAGCAAGTACATCAGACGAAGTAGGAGGCGGGTGTCCAGTTGGTTAGCTGACAATACCGCCCAAAATCTATGGTTGAAAGAAAATAAAATTTCGAACAAGGTAATCGCTAGACACCTTGCGGAAACAAAACGTGATGTTGAAACCTTGAGTGCTTTTAAATTACCGTACAGAAAATTTCCGGACTATTGAGCCTCATGGAAGCGAATGTAATGAATGGCTTTTAACATGACCTTTGTATTCAGAAGAAGAGTGTGGTTAATCTCTCACTTGCTTGACCCTATCTAATTTAGATTCTCACTACATAACTGTTTATTTATAGTTATTATTTTTCATTGTTTATATCGCTTACTTCATTACAGTTAAATTCTCTTACATGTTATATGGACTTCCAGTGACTTTGTTGTTCAACTTAAGAATTTTAATCTTCTAATTTTGAAATCTCTTACTCTCAGGCTGCATATGTGCAGCTGAGGAATACTCATGGAATCAACTGATGATTTAGTACATTTTGTCTCTCTTGCTTTAACCAAATTTGTCTGGGGTTCTAAATACATAAAAGTCCACACTAGAAAACATTTTCACTGCTGATCATTTTGAACTGAAGCAAAACTATAGCACGTTGAATCCATTTATTTTCAAAAAGTATGCTATCGTGAAATGTTCAATAGTCAACTGTTCATTGACTAAGGTTGTTTATACGTCTGTAATTCACTTATCTTTTCGTTACTTTTCTGATAAGTAATGGAGAAACAGTAGTGCAGATGTTGATGTAAACCTGTAAAGCATCTCGAAAAATCAGCATTTTCTCTTTATTAATATTTGTTGACAAACGCCGATAAAGTAGATCCTGAGGGTAAATCATTTAAAGTCCTACTGATTGCATTTCTAAATGAATTATTTAGTCACAAAAATCACGAAGTCCAGTTACCGGAAATTTAACCATCATGTGACCATAAGCTAGTTAATAGCTAACCACCTTCAGAAATCTGTCAAGTGAAGTACAAGGTATAAGAAATAATCTTCACTTTACATAAATATGTATGTATATATAATTTAGTACCGAATACCGTTGAGTTTATTCATATTCGACCCAAAACTTCAAGACGTTACGTCCCGCATAACCGTTGCTAAGGCTATCTGAATTATACAAGCATTAAAAAAGGAATTTCACGTTAATCCCAAAACACACTAGTATCACCGTACTCAAATATATAATGTAGTGAACAGATATTCCAACGGAATTCTATTTCATATAGCCTAGATTCATAAGTTATGACCTAACGTCCTGAATTATTCTCAAGCGTGAAAACAGAATATGACGAAAAAAATAGTGAAATTTCAGATAAGAAATGTTTTTGGTATTTTCTTCACGCAGGTTTCTCCCCTAAACTTCCTGACCTCATCAGCAGTAACTTTTTTAATATGAAGGCTAGTTTATTCACACAGTAAAAGTCTACTTTATTTGTCTACTGCATTCTGTTCTGTTTGTATTTTATTTCCTTCGTGAAGCGGATCTGAAGAGAATTCGGTAGATTTCGTGATGAAGGTGATTTCCTCGAATGGTCTATTCCCAGCACAGAATACTTTGGTTGCTATATTCTGAAACGAATATACGTATATATGAATATAACTTCTCACCTCACTTAGGATTACTAACTAGCCTTCAGTTTCGGCAGTGCACTGGATATACATATGAATATGTGTGTGCGTGTTAATCCTTCCACGTCTGAATCCATATAAATCGCTATATTGCGGAAATGAATGATACTATATCACGCAATTGAAGTAAAGAATAAACACTAAGAAAACTTTCGTCACCAAAGTAATTAACAAGAAACGAGAAACAAATTATCACTATTACTCACCTTGTTACAGCTTGTTATTTGTGTGTCAAGACTGAAATGGTCTAAAATGAAACAGAAAGTGTAGATTCAAAGAATGTATTTCATTAAGACATTTAAAGAGGTATCAATAAAAATTATGCAATGAATTTTAGTTAAAGCTTGTTTATTCCAATATCTGTAAGTTGGTGTTTGAGTTAATGTGAAGGTAATATCCACAGAATAGATGAGTCTGAGTACAGGAACAGTGAGTAGCACTGAATTGCTTTGAGCTACCTTCATTCTCAAAGGCTAGAATCCTCTTAGTAGATGCTCAGTTTTTTGTATTGAGACAGTAAGGAGCATTTCAGTATCACAGAGGTAGGACTCAATAATAACATCAAGCTCTTAGATGTTAAATAGGTGGAACAACAAAAAGGAGTATACAACAGAAACTGCTATCATTCGATATGTTCACCTTTTTAAGTCCGATACGCTTATAAGTGAAACCCAGTACAGTGCTCAGTTCCATGAGCCTGAAAAGCCTTCTCAAGTGCATAATCGAAGCTTATCCGCGACGTAGTCAGCTTGTAACGGATCTTCAGGTATTTATATGAATTAATGTTGATTATGTTTGGTGCTCTGAGCTGGGGTGTTTAATCGTGAAGCTTTGACTACTCTTGTATACAACATTATCAAGACTTGCTTCAGTGTTAAATAAGCTATCAGTGTCTTTCGATGAATAGTTCAGTATATCTTGCACAGACAAAATGGAGTCACTTGAAAACAAAAAGGAATCACAAATGACTTCTAGGAAATTCCTGGTCTTACAGCTGGCGTTTCAGAGGGAAATCAGAGGCAAAACGATGATAGAGTTTAGGGAATGATATAAGAAGATAATTCAACGCTATAAATTTGTGTAGATAATCTTGGAACAGACGAATATATACTTCTGGAAACAATAGACAGCTGTCTTATTTTCCCACTGCTATCTACACTCATTAGTTACACCATTCCTGCGGAGGTACGGACTCTTCAAATTTCCGAAGATAGTGCATCTTAGTTGAGCAAACGACAGAATAGATTAACTGCCAGCTTGATACTGTAAGATCCGTTTGATGCTTTAACAATGAGGTGATGTTAACGCTGCCTTCAGACTTATCACTCAAGACTTACTAGTTTGAGAAAGCCATCAGAACCCATCTGAACAAGCACAGAAGCAATTCGTGTTGCCCTCTTCTTTGCTCGAGTTTCAGTAACTGATGAGTCATCCTTGATTCCAAGTAGTACGTTGGCGAAGGTTACGCTATATGTGACGAAAGCACTTTCGAAATAATTACTTGTAAAAAGTAGCGAAAAAGTCCATTTCCTAAGTTCTGTACTTAGTCAGCAGCAAGAATCTGCGTTGGTTGTGCTCGCCTTCAGCTTCTTTTGTCCGTCATCTTTAAGATTGTTCCCTGGATTTCGGTCTACAAGGTCACAAGAACCGGAATCCATATTCAGTTTGCTATCCGATAGTTATACAGTAGTTAAAAAAGAGACAGCTCAGAATCGGCCATAATCATATACCATTTACCCCATAATGAATTAGCAGTAGTGACCAGTGAGATCAAGGTAAATATAGGTTCGTTATCCACTTGCTATAGTTCGATTTATGGAGATAGTTATCGTTCATTAATAACTCTCCAAGTAACTAACTGTAACCTAAGATGCAGTACATAACGTTTACAGTCCTAAGTGCACGCACATTCCTTTTGTATACGTGGGTGACTTTAAAGGCTATCTTACCAACAATCAAAACAAACAATTAGGTCCCTTCATTTGAGCTAGAAAAGGTGATTTTTTAAAAATGTAGAGGTTTGATTGGTTAGTTCAGTTGTTTTTAGTGTGGTCTTTAAAGTCAGTCAAAAACTGATTTCTGGGGCGTAACAGAATAAAGATGCATATTGATCAGTATGGAATGAAATGACCTTGTCGTCGTCGATGGCATTCATAATTATTGATTCATTTCTCAATGAAATCATACAAGCATGAGGGAACTCATAGAAATGCATATGAAATACATTATTCTTCCTATTATGATCTCTAATATATCGTGAAGTATTTAGCTTAAAGACAAGTGTACGTTGAGTTTTTTTTTGCCATGTGACCATACCATAAATTCCAGTTGTCACGATTACAACCGACTGTGGAAATACATAAGTGAATTATATCTTACACGAAATGGCATAAAGGTAGTCACTAATTATTTAAAACAATTATCGTTTACAAAAGCCACCTCTGTAAATTGTAAATCCATGAATCATATCTTAAAATAAATAGCTGTCGTGTAAGGAAGGCGTGTCCTGAATGTTTCAGCCATTAGAACAGTTGATGTTTCTCTAGGCACATGAAATTTAGATCAATTTGATGTCAACATTTGACGACTGGATAATAATCAGTCCATTTAATCGGTACACAATCAGGATTTATGAATTAGCGATCTTGATTTATGCGAACTTGCATGTATATCCACGTTTATTTCAAAATATGAACAGGTATTGTTTATGACAAGATGAATTGTAATCAATAAAAGGAAAATATTGTGAATGAAGTGACTAAATATGCGGAGAATTATAAGATACAGTGTCTTGGAAAGAAATTCCAAGATGAAGCTAAAAGAAATATTTGTGGAATGGATAAATTCAGCTGCGTTTATTTCGATAACTGTGACCCATTAATCATATTTTAATATCAACGGACATTCATTTTGACAATATGATATGGCAATATTCAGTAAATTTGCTGAAACCTGAAGCCTAGATTCAATAGCTAAATTATATTTCTTTAAATGAAACTACCATTGTTCACTGCAGCTTTAACTTGATAAAATTCCTCTTTGAATTAACTGAAGTAAGAAATGGACAATTGAATCCTGACTGTGCCGTATTGAATAAGTGGGCAACCAGCTGAATTCTAATTGGTCGTTGCAAAGACACCTGAATTTGTTAGCTCCACTGAAATAGTTAGTGATCTATTAACTTGAAAAAGATCCTGCTTTTACTTATATTTCGAAAATTTCAGCTATGAATATTATTAAAACATGTAGTCAATGTTACCGAATTTCTGCCTAAAGACGAATATTTTTCTCAAAAGTCAGTGTTATAATATTTCAAATGAGGTACGCTGGTTGGCTAGTGGAAATGAACGGGTGTCATGGTGTCTAGTTGTAGCCCGTTGATCAAACTCTTTCGATCAAGGTTAGGTGTACTAATATGCTTTAACAAGCGGCAGTTGGAATAATTCAGTCTCAAAAAATCCGAACGATTTGTGGCGAAGATATGAATCGAATGTGATGCAAGCCTTTATGCAAGCAGCAATTCATAAAAGTAAACAAGGACTGACTCTGGATGAAAGAAAATGAAAAAGATCCTATAGAATGCAGTAAGCTGGAACACTGAATGACTGTTCCTATCATTTAAATCACTTTGATCCGGCCAGTGAAATCTACAGACAATCGTGGGAGGTTTTTTACCTCTCATGATGTTCACTAGTAAATGGTTTTGTTTCATAACAATTTCGTTTCGAAAACTACAATTTCTGATCCTCGTTGAGTAGCTTCCGATAGAAATTTTGTTTCTGCCACCGTTGGGCAGTTGAACAAAATACTCAGCTGTGAAAAATGTTGAAAGGAGCAGTGCAGTTCATAAATAACTGACGATTTGGTTATCTTATCTGAAGACATCAACAAAACTTGCCTAGTTGGGCTTACCTGCATGGCTATGAAAAATGGTATTCTGGTTAGTCAATGTTCTGTTGCACAGCCTACCATCCTGTCAGGTTAACCAGTTTATGTGTAAAATATTCACTTAAACCGAGTGATCCAAATTAATTTTGACTGTATTACTTTCATGCAGCCGAGGCTATTATAAATCATAAAGGAAATCTTAAATGTTTTAAGAAGAAACAAGCTAGTCAATTATCCAGTTTCAAGTGACCTGAACTAATTCTTCACTATGAGCCAAATTTTACCAGGTTCACCACTCGTGAGATGGTTCCAACCCGATAGAGAGAAGGGATCATCCAGTGTTCAAATCACTTTGATCTTGTTGATGAAATAAATATATCAGCGTAAGTGGTTTCTGACTACTAACGTCGTACAGTAGGGATATATTTCGTTGGTTCATGACACCTATGTGTCACAGATCACACCTGATCAAAGAGGAATGGCCAGTTTATTTTGTCTCAGTTGAAATTATGTTAGTTGGATGGGGGCCGTCTGCAGGAGACCTTGGACCCAGGTTTCATGATTGGTGGCTATTCGTCAGTAAGGTCCATCTGCAATCCCGACGGAATTTATGTCCGCCTGAGGTTAGAATCCGCGTCACTCAGTGTTGCAGTCAGCGACTTTACCGCTGAGCTATTCGGGCTGCGACTGACCTTCTTTGAGACTGGATTAGATATATTGATTAGTCACTGCGGGGTGACTGACTTTATGTTATCTAGTTCTAAGTGTTGGTGGAACTCTATCATTTAATACAACACTGAGTGACGCGGATTCAAATCTTAGGCGGAACACGAAGTCTATCATGGTCATTGATACACTTTGCTGACGAGTGTCAGCAAGCACGAAGCCCAGGTTCAGGGTTTCCTGCCAATTGCCTCCATCCAACTAACATCTGTCGAAGTGTGTCACGATGCTGAGATGTCTAATTTGGTGGCCACATTGCAAAATGATCGACGGCATTCGATCAGCACTTAGGACTAGACAACATGAAGTTGGTTGCCCTTCAGTAACCAACCAATGTATTGAAATTATAACATTTGAAAGCGCGACTCTAAAGACCACCTTGGAAAACACTCGAAGAACTAATTAGCCTTCTTTATTTCCCTTGGACAGATAGTATTTTGGTAAACTAATGTCTTAATTAGTTGTTTGACTAGTTTCTCGGGTGGCATTTGCAGATATTCGATTTGATATACATAACTTTTTGGAAAATACTCCCATGAGTGAATCCGATTATTTTCTGATCATTTTCAAGTGTTGTAAATAGGGTGGGAGTTTGTTTTGAAACTTCTAAATGACTAGTGATAATAATTGAATTCT